AAAAGAAAAAACAGGTTCCAAAAAGAGCCAAGTTCACCCGCAAGTTCCAGATGGAGTAGGCGCCGCATCTCGCCTTCCCCAGATGGAACCCCGGTGACCAGAAGCCTCTACAAACACAGCTCGAGTATGCGGGAACGAGGACTTTTTCTCAAAACCGCGCGGCCGCGTAAGCCGCGTAATCTCTCTATATACAAAGTGATCAATGAGAAGTAAACCACCCAATCTTTCTCCCTGAAAGTCAGAGTTAAGTTTGGAGCACGGCCACAGCCCCAGAAACACAAGGACTTAATGCAGAACCCAGCAGCTTAGAGCAGAAAAGTGAAAGGACTATGCGTTAATCCAGGCCATCAAGTCTGCCGGAGGGGAAAGGGTGTTGCCCCATTCGCCCTCTCTTCTCTGGAAAGAAGGATGGCGGCCGCATGGGAGCCGTGTGGACAGCAGGTATGAGCCGGGGGTGTGGGGGCGACTAAAACCTCATGGGAAGGGGGGCGTTCCGGTCCGTCCTTCATGCCCTACCGAGGTCACCAGTTGCCCCCCACGAGCGGCTCTCCAGCACGGCCACAGCCCCAGAAGCACAAGGGCTTAATGCAGAACCCAGCAGCTTGGAGCAGAAAAGTGAAAGGACTATGCGTTAATCCAGGCAATCATTTCTGCCCAGAGGGGAAAGGGTGTTGCTCCCTTCCGCCCTCCTCCCTCTGGAAAGAAAGATGGCGGCCACATGGGAGCCTTGTGGACAGCAGGTATGAGCCGGGGGTGTGGGGGCGACAAAAACCTCATGGGAAGGGGGGCGTTCCGGTCCATCCTTCACGCCCTACCGAGGTCACCAGTCACCCCCCACGAGCGGCTCTCCAGCACAGCCACGGCCCCAGAAGCACAAGGACTTAATGCAGAACCCAGCAGCTTGGAGCAGAAAAGTGAACGGACTATGCATTGACCCAGGCCATCAAGTCTGCCGGAGGGGAAAGGGTGTTGCCCCATTCGCCCTCTCCTCTCTGGAAAGAAAGATGGCGGCCACATGGGAGCCTTGTGGACAGCAGGTATGAGCCGGGGGTGTGGGGGCGACTAAAACCTCATGGGTCGGGGGGCGTTCCGGTCCGTCCTTCACGCCCTACCGAGGTCACCAGTTGCCCCCCACGAGCGGCTCTCCAGCACGGCCACAGCCCCAGAAGCACAAGGGCTTAATGCAGAACCCAGCAGCTTGGAGCAGAAAAGTGAAAGGACTATGCGTTAATCCAGGCAATCATTTCTGCCCAGAGGGGAAAGGGTGTTGCTCCCTTCCGCCCTCCTCCCTCTGGAAAGAAAGATGGCGGCCACATGGGAGCCTTGTGGACAGCAGGTATGAGCCGGGGGTGTGGGGGCGACTAAAACTTCATGGGAAGGGGGGCGTTCCGGTCCGTCCTTCACGCCCTACCGAGGTCGCCAGTTGCCCCCCACGAGCGGCTCTCCAGCACGGCCACGGCCCCAGAAGCACAAGGACTTAATGCAGAACCCAACAGCTTGGAGCAGAAAAGTGAACGGACTATGCATTGATCCAGGCCATCAAGTCTGCCGGAGGGGAAAGGGTGTTGCCCCATTCGCCCTCTCCTCTCTGGAAAGAAAGATGGCGGCCACATGGGAGCCTTGTGGACAGCAGGTATGAGCCGGGGGAGTGGGGGCGACTAAAACCTCATGGGTCGGGGGGCGTTCCGGTCCGTCCTTCACGCCCTACCGAGGTCACCAGTTGCCCCCCACGAGCGGCTCTCCAGCACGGCCATGGCCCCAGAAGCACAAGGACTTAATGCAGAACCCAGCAGCTTGGAGCAGAAAAGTGAATGGACTATGCATTGATCCAGCCCATCAAGTCTGCCGGAGGGGAAAGGGTGTTGCCCCATTCGCCCTCTCCTCTCTGGAAAGAAAGATGGCGGCCACATGGGAGCCTTGTGGACAGCAGGTATGAGCCGGGAGTGTGGGGGCGACTAAAACCTCATGGGAAGGGGGGCGTTTCGCTCCGCCCTTCACGCCCTACCGAGGCCACCAGTTGCCCCCCACGAGCGGCTCTCCAGCACGGCCACGACTCCAGAACACAGAAACCAATTTCTTAACTATCTGACTTTCAGTAGAAATACTTCCAGGGTCAATAAGTAAAATAGCAGAAATCCAAAACCAACATTTAATTCTTGAACCCAGCTGGAGAAAGCAAATCACTTCACAATGCTTTTTCAGCATGTCTGATTTGGGGGGGGGGGGTAAACTCTAAATAATAGTGGTGAATCTTTTATTGAAACAATCTAATCAAAGCGGATAGAGTGTTAACTAGAATTCATCTGCCTCACAGGGACGGGGAGGGGTGGGGGGTGGGGTTTTATTGGGGTTCTTCATGGGAAAAAATAAGTATTGGTAAAGGGAAATGTGTTTGATATTTGCATGACTGAGACATAAACCTGAAAGCTTTGTAACCTTTCCCACAGTGATTCAATAAATAAATAAATTAAAAAAAAAAAATAAGAATTTGAGCTCCCATTTGACCCAGCAATACCACTCCTGGGAATATATCCCAGAGAGGCAAAAAAGTATAGTCGAAGTGACATCTGCATTTGTTCATTGCAGCACTCTTTACAATAGCCAGAATCTGGAAAAAAAACCTGAGTGCCCCAGAACAGATGACTGGTTAAAGAAAACTTTGGTACACAATGAAGTACTATGTAGCTGTTAGAAAAGATGAAGTCATGAAATTTACATACAAGTGGTACTACATGGAAAGTATCATGTTAATGGAAATGAGTCAGAAAGAGCGGGATAGACACAGAAAGACTGCATTCATCTGGGGAACATAAAGCAACAAAATGGGAGACTAACACCCAGGAGTGGCCAGGATTAGTACTAGGAATTTTACTCCATGACTTGGAGGCCAGCCACACGTGCTAGGGGGAAAGGAAGCTCAGATAGAGAAGGGAGCATCAAATAAAGGGTGTTGGGAGGATCCTCCCAGGATGGGAGAAGCATGCTGAAAGTAGATTATAGACCAAACATGATTTCCACTCAATGCCTCTCTTGCAAACCACAGAACCCAAAAGGAGAGAGAACAAAAGGGAATGACCTGCCACAGAGGTAGGGTGGGATGGGGGGTGGGAGGGATGCTGGGACTCGTGGCGGCGGAGGACGGGCACTGGTGGAGGGATGGGTACTTGATCATTGTATATAACTGAAACCCAAGCACAAAAATTTCTAAGTCTACTAACTATACCTCGTGGTGTTTCAGTAATAAAAAATTAGCATAGTTTTATATTAAAAAAAATTGTCATACTGGCCAGAGATATAGTACAAGAGGCATGTGCTTGCCTTGCAAGCAGCTGACTAAGATTAGATCTGAGGCACCACATAAGGTTTTCTGAGCTCTGCCAGTAGTGACCCCTGAGAACAGAGTCCACAGTTGTGGTGGACAAAGAAGTCTAGATTTGCATTTGCATTCTGGAAGAAAATATTTCCTTGGGACATTTTGTGTTAAATCTATAAAAATCCGTATCATTTTTATAGCCTATTTTTATTGTGACCTAGACGCTCCGGTACAACTCTTCTCACTTTTAGTAAATTCGAACAATTTCCCTTTGTTGCTCTACATCCTGAAAAAAAAAATCATTTGAGAGCTGGAAATCAGTAGAGCCAGATTCCATGTAATTGTTTAGAACATGTTGAATTATGCCACTGTCTGAAGTGAGACAAAAATAGCTTAGGAAGGGAAAATTTAATCTGGCCAGAGAAAGGGAATGAGTATAAATAAGTTTTAAAGGTTGGTTATGCATGCTATGGAAAAGCTGTCACTTGACAGGTTTAATTTACAAAGTTGGCATTTAGGCTGCAGATAATCCAGACAGTCCCTGACCTCAGCATTACTGGGGTAAGCCTTACAGAGGAGAACTATTTTTAAACAGTTTCTGGCAAACTAGAGTAATATTTACTTAATAAAAAGACTAAAAAGTACTCGTTTCCCCCTACAATCACAGTTTTTTCTAAAATCCGGGTATGTTATCTGCTAAAAACTGCTTCTGCTATCATATTTATAAATATATTGATTTATCTCTATGGCACAGTTCATCACTGGAAGATACTGTGTAAAAAAAAGTAGAGAAGCATTTTGAAATTTCTACTATTTAAAGACAATTGTTGGTGTCAGGGAGATGCTCAAAGGGTTAGTGCAGATGCTTTGCATGCCAGAAGTCTGTGTTTGATCCCTGGCACCATGTGGTGCCTTGAACACCGCCAAAAGACCCTCCTGAAGTCTAAACTAGAAATAACTCCTGAGCACTGCCAATTGTGCTTCAAAAACAAGAAATAATTTTTAAAAGAATTTTAAAGAATTTATATCTTGTGCTTTTTGAATACTTTATTGACCTTCCCTTCCTCCTCAGATTTTTTTTCCTTTTTGGGTCACACCCGGCGATGCACAGGTATTACTCCTAGAGGTGCTGAGGCAGGGGAGGGGAAGGAACCATATGGGATGCTGGGAAATCGAACCTGGGTCAGTCTCTGCAAGGCAAACGCCCTACCCGCTGCGCCACCCACTGTGCTACCTCTCCAGCCCCTCCTCCTCAGATCTTGCATGGTAAATGCCTGACACTCTCCTAGCTTATGCAGGCAAAAACATTGTTTCTGCCTTCAGTGGACCTCCAACAGATGAGGGAAGGGGGGGAAAAAGCAATGAGGCAGGCAGGGCATCTAATTATAACTTGTAATGTGTTCTGTGAAAGAGGTAAACAGCCTAGTTGGAGGGATTCTGTTTAGACAGGAAAGTCACGGGCACTGTCTCCCAGGACATAGACTTAAATGTGAAACACAGAAAGAGGGGAAGCCTGTGATATTCTTGGTGGGGGGGAGTGACAGTGCAAATACTAAGGCAAATTTTGTAGTCTTTAGGGTGATGAAAATCTGAGGGGCTGCAGCAACATAAAAGGCAAGAAGGGTCTTTTTTTAAAAATTTTATTGAATCACCATGAGATAGTTACAAACTTTGGGGTTACAATCACACAATGATCAAACACCCATCCTCCACCAGTGCACATTCCCCATCACCAGTATCTCCAGTACACACCCCCTTTCCTACCCTCCCCCTGCCTCCATGGCAGACAATATTCCCCATTCTCTCTACTTTGGGGCATTATGGTTTGTGATATAGAGAGGTTATCATGTTTGGTCCTTTATCTACTTTCCGCATACATCTACCATCCCGACTGGTTCCTCAAGCCAACATTTTCTTAGTGATCCCTTCTCTATTCAAGCTGGAAGAAGGAAGGTCTTGGCTTAGAGATGTACATGGACTAGATTGTGCAGATTTTCTGAGCAATGGTTAAAATTGGGATTTTATTTTAAGAACATTCAGCAATAGTAATCAATCAGAAAACATTTTAAAAGATTTTTTTCAGATTCTGTAGTGAATGCCTTGGAGATGCAATGAGCAGAAGTAATGAGGTGACAGAGTTTCCCATACCTTTCTAAATGGGCAGCAATAATAGTGGATGTCCTATGAGGAGGATAGTGCAAACTAAGAAAAATGGATAAGAAAGAAAGGTGGGTGGAATAAAGATACTGAAATAGAATTAACACTTGAACCACAACATACTACTAAAATTGTTTTAAAGATACAAAACAAGTATTGAAAGGGTCTCCCTGCCCCACACCAGGTACTGAATTGTGTTTGCTCGTATGCCCAGGTAAAATTCTTTAACCCATTTTTGCTAGCAATGTTTGCAACTTAAAAGAAATGGTAAGCTTGATAGAAATAAAGGCTCTCAGGGGGCTGGAGTGATAGCACAGCGGGTTGGGAGTTTGCCTTGCATGGGGCCAACCCGGATTGGATTCCCAGCATCCCAATGGGTCCCCCGAGCACCGCCAGGGGTGCATGAGCCAGGAATAATCCCTGTACATCACCGGGTGTGACCCCCCCCAAAAAAATAAAATAAAGGCTCTCAAAGTGTACTTAAACAAATGCTTTCAAAATATGAGAATTCTAAAAACTGTATATGCAAATTTTCAGAGAACATATGAAAAGATGCTCATCCTATCCTATCCTAATATTAAGACAACACAGATGCTAGGGATGTGGTCTAGTGATAAGCTAACCCTCCCCCCCCCAAAAAAAAAGTATTAGAGAAGGTGGTGAGACCCTGTGCCAGGGTTGAAGAGAACGTATATTGGTGCTTTCAGTTTTGGAAAACAGAATGGAACTACTTCAGTAAGTTAAAAACAGAAACCATATGAAATTCAATAATTCAGGTATCTATGTAAAGTCATTGCACGGAGTGTCAGATTTCAGAAGGGAGAACACTGGGAACGACCTATCCCTCCTGCGGAATTTTGGCATGTGGGCAGATGGACGTAGCTATCAAAGAGATCCGAGTATAAGTCGTGGATAATCTTCTCCACTGCCCTTCTAGAAGATGTGATAGATCATCAGGACGTCGGGGGGCAGTCATCTTGGTCTTGTTGGACAGGCGGGCGGGCGCTGCAAATACTCTTCCCGGCTTCTTCCGCATTAGCCAACGCTGCTGCTCTTCTCTCTCTGAGGTCTTTCTTTATCGCTTCTCTGCACCGCTTTGCCAGCTCAGACGTTAGCTTGAAATTGCCTGAGGATCGAGCAATACCACGTTGGCGAATGAGCTCGAGAGTTTCTGAAGACAGGCGTTTGTTTCTGGCACTCCTGACATTCCTCGAACATCCACGGAGGTGCTGAACCGGTCGACCGCATTCCTCGTCGATGTTGTCAGTGACGGCATCTTCTGATACTACTGCAGGAGTGCCAGAGAGCTCCCAGTTGGTGGTCGTTTTGGGAGTTATCTGCTTAAACTTTGCACTCCTTTCTTCGTGCTCCGAGAAATAAAATTTCGCACGAAGGAGACGGTGGTCTGATCCCGTTTGGAATTTTGGGATAACCGCAACATCAGTCAGACAAAACCGTCGATTGAATATGACGTGGTCAATTTCATCGTGGAACCGTCCACAAGGAGACTCCCATGTCCAACGCTTAAATTCGGGCTTCTGGAACTGTGAGTTCCCATGGATGGTCTTGGTCGACATGATGAACTCAGACAGTCTCTCACCCTGTTCATCCCATTCTAGGCCATGGGTCCCGATGTGGAGTTCTTCGGCTGATCTCCTCGGTCCTATCTTGGCATTAAAATCACCGACAATGATCTTGTAGAAGGCGTGGTCTTCTTTATAGAACGTCTCCAGGTCCATGTAGAACTTCTCCATTTCTTCTTTGGTATCGTTGGGTGTTGGTGCGTAGACGACGAAGACAGAAACTGCCGGCAGTGAGCCACATCTATTCAAACGTAAGCGTCCAATTCGGTTTGTTAGGCTTTTGAATGAATTGATGCTCATGGCCACGTTCGTGTTGACGAGGACACCGATACCACCGATGCCTCTTCTGTTGCATGTTCCGAGGAACAGTTCTTCTCCGGTGTTGAAAACAACGTGATGTGGTTGAGGCCTTCTGGTGTCGGTCAGTCCAATGATATCGTACTTGATCCTCTGTGCTTGCAACATCAGGTTATTGATGGATGCGTCTGATGCCAGCATACGTGGATTGAAAGTACAGACAGTCATATGAGTGTTTCGTCGTTTTGGCAGACCTGATAGGCCCCGAGATTTTGTCTGCCTTTCCTTACTTGTACTTCCCACTGCTGCCATATTGGGGGCTCTTTCAGAAAGTCAGGAAAATGAGGCCAGTTATTGTTACTGTTTTTGAGGTCAAGAGAACACCTGGCCGCCCACCTATGAGATGTTCGGACTTCTTCGTTAAGAACCTGAACAAACGGTTTGATGCTTTTTGTGTTCCTGGAGCGAGCAGGTGCCACTGGGTTACACCAGCATGCAACTGGGATGAATGGCGCCCACTCGAGCAAACTGATGAGCAATGGGACAGCAGGTGATACAGGTGATCTATGTAAAGAAAAAAGATCATGTCAATCCCATGTTTATGACTGTATCGTTTATAATAACTAAACCATGAAAGGAATTAAATGTTTTAATCAACAGATGCTTGGATAAAGATGCTGTATATTAATACAATGACATTACTATTACTATTCACTTCTATAGATTAAAAATAGAATAGGGTTTAAGATGCTTGCTTTGCATGTGACTGAGCACAGAGCTAGAAGGAACCCCGAACACAAACTAGGTGTAGTCCCATTCCCTTACCCCCGCCCCCAATTACTTTAGATACATGATATCAACAACTGACATTTAAATGAATGCTTATTTCTGCATGCAATATTTTAAGCTGTTTATTTATGACTTTACAAATCTTTTTCAAATTAATGTTACCACTCAGAAATCTTTTTCACCAAGAAAAGGACAAAAATAAGCAAAATTCCATGTACCATGGTCTTAATACCTTGATTATCTGAGGCCAACTCCTGACTCTATTTACATTTGTTTAATACTATACAAACTTCTATGTAATAAATTCTGATTCAGTTTCTGGGCATTCTGTTAGTTTCTTGACAGGAGGAAATCTATTCCCAAATCTTGTTTGTCTATTTTCCTGGGGCTTCCAGAGTTGGTTTGCCTGCCTCTTTCTCAATGAGATAAAATTTTATATTCTAGTTAAGTAAATGGCAACACGAAGTGATAAAGACTACAGAAAAAAATATTAAAGCTACTATAACTTATGATATTTATTTATCTTTGGTTTTTGAACCACATCTGGTGGTGCCCAGAGGAAGGGCCCAGTAGTGGATATCAAATACCAGCTGCCAACAAAATATGCACTCAGACCATTATGCTATCACTCTGGTCTGGAGTTCTATTTGTGTCTGTTTGTTTGGGGCCACACCCTGTTACACTCAGGGGTTCTTCCTGACTCTGCACTCAGGAATCACTCCTGGCAGTGCTCAGGGGGACCGTATGGTGTGTGGTGGAATCAGTGCTGGTTTGGCTGCATGCAAGCAAACTGGCCTTTCTTTGTATTTTTTAAAATTTAATTTTAGATCTGTGATTTACAATCTTCCAGTACTGTCTGTGCTAGGCTCTATGCACAAAGCATTCCAACACCCCATCCTCCACCATAGTGTCTGTTTCCCTGAACCATTGTCTCAGGATTCCTCTGTCCCTGCGCCCCCACACCATACCCCTACACACCCTCCACCCCATCTGCAGCTTCCCATTCCCACCATGCTCCTTAAGTCACACTGCCCTAATAAACTCTGTTCTGTGGACATGTTCTTAGATTGTGTTGCCTGAGTTATTTTTAGACTTACATTTTCTTCTATCTCAAATACCTTTGTCTGCCTTTCAAATCCTTGCTCCTCCTTTTAAAAAGCATGTTAAAAGTGTCACTTCCACTAAAAATCCTTTAGTTCTCCAAGTATGTATGTATGTTTGTTTTGATCTTATTTTACCCTATGGAGATTCCATTATAACAGGCATTACTTTGTATTATAAGTGCTTGTAGGCATCTGAATACCTTATTGCCCAATTTAGTTCTTGGCAAATATTAGTGATTTTCGAATAATGAGTAAGCACAAAGAAAAGGGAATATCTGATTTTTCTTGAGCAAATCAAGTGAAAATTCAATAAAACATGCAGTTAAGTCCTTATCTTGAGGGTCTGGAGTGATAGTACAGCGGGTAGGGTGTTTGCCTTGCATACGACTGACCCTGGTTGATTCCTAGCATCCCACAGGGTCCCCTGAGCACTGCCAGGAGTAATTCCGAGTGCAAAGCCAGGAGTAACCCCTGTGCATTACCGGATATGACCCAAAAAGAAAAAAAATTATATTGGGATTTATATATGTAAGTTAAAGGATAAAGATGCTTAATTATAAAGTTGAAAGTTAAATTCTAAAATTCTTTGAGGGAGTATAAATTGCCTATTTTTTAAAAATTTTTTAATGTCACCAGTTTTTCAAGTTGTATTTTGAAAGGTTTGTAAATATGATGTATTCAGTTGGTGCATTAGGAAGTCTGTTTTGGAGTATGAGGATGGAAGATAAATAAGAATGCCAGAGTAATCAAAGAGATCAAAGCATTGGCTTGCTTTTGAATGACCCTGGTGTGATTTCCAGAACCATATATATTCCCCTGAAGAGAGTTAGGAGTAGCTACAGAGCACTGCCGGGTATGGTCCAAAAACTCCACTCCCAATAAGTAAATTTAAAATAAAGAAAGAAAGAAAATAAATAGGGAAGAGATAAAAAGTATAGATAAGGTAGATTCACATAAGAAAATGAAGGTAGGATATTCTTTTTCTTTTTGTTTGGTTAATTTTGGCGTTATACCTGATGGTGCTCAGTGCTTACTCCTTGGCTCTATGCTAAAGGGTCACTTTGGTGGTGTGCTCAGGGACTCACATGCAGCAAAGGGGATTGAAATGGGATTAGCTACATCCAAGGCAAGCATTAACATTCTCATACCTATACAATCCCAGAAGGGGATAGTCTTAAGAGTTTTTTTTTTAAACATAAGTTATAACTATGGTAATTTCAATGTGTATTTTAAGATATATTCCCAAGACACTAGACATATTATAAAACTCAGGAAGATTGGTAATGGCAAAAGCAGACGTGAGCTCAGGTAAAGATAGTCCTTTTGAATATTCCCGTTCCTCTTTATTCAGTTGACTTATTGAGCTAGAATCCACTTATTTCTTACCATGTCGACTGCTTAGGTGAAATGTTTGTATATTTACACAAATTCCAATCTATTCCCCTTCCTAAAAACTTACTGTTTTTTAATGTAATGAAATTATAAATAGGGGTAGAAAAAAAAGCAAGGTCTCTCCACCCTTTCAGCTATATATTTCTAAGAGATAGATGTTAAGAGCCTGATATGCAACATAGTCAGAGGTGAGTCAATAACCTCTGTCCCCTAGAGAAAGATTCATTGATCTACTGTCCTGATATCAGTGACTTATACCTATGTCCTTCTAATGCCCAGTCCAAGAATAGACTCCCCCTTGTTCTTCACTTCTGACTGCCCCCCAGTTTGTTGAATCCATCGCTAACTATGTCTAGTAGAAGGAGATGCCTCCCTCTATTTCTTACAGTATTTTCATTTTATTTTTCCCTCCATCCTCCTTTCCCTGCGCCCATCAATCTTTCATTGTTTTTGTTTGTTTTGGGGTTTTATCTGCCCTCACTACCTAAGTTGCTGGGGGTGTGAGGGAAAGTGGTGATGGAAAAAGGAGGCAAAATCATGGCAGGTGGGTCGAAGCGATAATACACCACGGCTGGACACTCGCCTTGCACGCAGCAGACCCAGCTTTGATCCAGGCATCCCATATGGCCCCCTGAGCACTGCCAGGAGTGATTTCTGAGTGCAGAGCCAGGAGCACCCCATCAGAATTGTTTGGTGTGACCCCGAAAGCCAAAAGAAAAAAAAAAGGCGGTAAGTGCCCAGGACTGAACTTGGGGCTGGTACAGGCAAACTTGTGCTCTAGCTCTTGGAGTTATTTCCCCAGTTCTCTTTTTAAACAAAATTTGCTAAGTTATACTAAACTAGCTTGCTATGCTGACTTCTAATCTTTGGTCCAGCTCATCTATCCTGTATTTTAAAAATATGCAAATAAGATCTTGTCATTCCCCTACTTAAACCCTCCAATGTTTCTGCATTAGCTTTTAAAAACAGTAAATTTCTTCAGCGGACTTTGAACACACTCCAAATCTTGCTTCTGTCTAACCAGTCTGTCCCCTGTTTCACTGTAACTTTTTTAGATTTTTAAAATCAACTGCAATTCCAAAAATTGATGCTGTTTTTTCTTCCACATATTTTCAGTTTTTTTAACCTATGAAATATATTCAGTTTCCCCCAATATTAATTTTGACTTGTTGCCTTCATGAGTTTTTTAACTTCCCAACTGACATATTCTAATTTCTTTGGAAGCACAAAAATACCTACATAGAATATCTATATAGAATACATGTCTGTTGAAGTATAATAAATGTTTGCACATTCAGGGTATGTTGTATATTTTCTTGCTATTGTTTTATGCTAGATTTAAGGATGTGTAGAGGACAGTGCCAGTATTTCATAGTTCACAGAAACCCTGACAACTTGAATAAGGCAGCAGACAATGAGATTAGAAAGTGAAATCAAGAAAATGATGATAGTAGGCTGGGTTGTCATGGGGAGAATCATTAAGAGGACAGATTGTTTACTAGGTTCTCTATATTTGAATCTGCTCCCCAGACACCATCAGAAATTTACTTTTATGTCACTGTTTAAAATAATTTTACTTTTTCTCCTTGAGGTGAATAACAAGACAAAATAAACTGACAAAAAGTATCAGTGACTCATAAATTATTGATCTAGTACAGATTCACTCAAAGTGATAGTGACATGCCAATCTCTTTGGCAGAGCCTTTGCAGAGAATTGTATACTGAATTTCTCTATCATCTTCCTGTTTGTGTAGTATAAAGGAGAGAGAAATCATGCCCTTAGAAAATACTTGAGCTGCTATATTGAAAGCAACTTTATTGTAATAATTGTCGTATTAGTGCCCTAAGATTTTTAGACTTGCAAAAATATGAACTTGAAAATTAAGACTAGCTTTAAGGTAAATATTTCCTTAATCTGTATTTTTTTGGTTGTACAAAATTCATTCAAATTAATATTTAAAGTTTAATTGAAAAGAACATGCAGTTTTACTTTTGACATATGCGTGATCCCTACATTTACTGAAATTGAATTATACTGATAATTAGAGCAGATTTTATAATATGCATGGTTTTCAATAAATTACAGCTTTTAGAATAGGAAAATGACAATTATAATAATAGGACTTAATTTAGTATTGTGCAAACATCTCCTCTTATCTGAGGTTTTGTCCTGAGACTACGCAAAATTTATATCGTGGAAATTAATCAGGTTTTTATTCTCTGACCCCTGGATTCTTCAGAAAATTTTTCATTTTGAAGGATTATAATCTTTTCAAAAAC